AAAAAAAAAAAAAAAAAAAAAAAAAAAAAAAAAAATTCCAGCGTGGTGTGCCATGCTGGCCCGGCCCCTGGGGCCCTGATATGTCATTGAGACTGGGCTTGGTGGTATGCGCCTATAATCCCAGCCCTTGGGAGGCAAAAAACAGAATCGCAACAAGTCCTATCTACGTAGTGAGAGCCTATAGAGCCTGTCCTAAATACATAAGAAATAAACTAAAAAAAGAAGAAAAGTATGTATTTTTGGCTCTATATCCACATAAAGAACATCTACCAAGACAAATTAACCTTATTCCAATAGCTAAATGATCCTGAAAATGGTCAACTTCATAAATTTTGTAAATATGTATGTTTACAAAATGTGCCACTGACCTAATTCCCTGGCCCTACATAAATTATTTTTAAAGATATACTGGAGAGAAGAGGCATCGGGCAGTGCCCACTTGTGATTCCAGCACTCAGGAGACTGGGGCAGAAGGACCACTATGAGTTCTAGGCCAGTCTGGGCTACATAGTGACTTCAAGGCCAGCATGAACTACACAGTGAGACCCTGTGTCAAAAAAACAAACAAAGAAAAATCTCCGTTGTATGAATTCATTCTTTTGTCTTTAGTACCAAGAATCAAACTCTGGACCTTGCACTTGCCAAGCAAGCACTGTGCCATTGAGCTATATCACTGATCCTCCATTGTATAAATCCAGTTTTCTACAACAATATAATAAAAAGAATTCTTGAATTGAAAGACTGTAAAGACCTTGGTTCTAATACCCAGTGAGTTATCAATTGCTAACTTTGAAAAAAACACCTTACTTAGCAGCTTAGCTCTTCATATATGAAAAATGAGTATGGTGTGGTGTCTATTGTGCTGTCAGGCTGGCTGGTGAGAAGATCACCATGCCTTTGGCCAGAGATTTACTACAGCCTTTCTTGGAAAAGAAAAAAAAAAAAAAAAAAAAGACATAAAAAAGGGCTAGTTCAAAGTCTAAATTCTTATTTTATGTAAAAATGTCCAAGTTGTTACAAGATTACCATGGTTTTCAGCCATGCGCAAGACAGTGGTTCTTTGCATTATTCAACAGTTTTGGACCAGCCTACAGGAGGAAAAGCCAGACTCACAGAAGGTGTATCCATCACTTTGGTATTTTCTCTCTCTTTTTTTGGCGGAACCAGGGATTGAACTCAGGCCCCTGTGCTTGCCAGGGAAGCGCTTATTCCACTGAGCCGTCTCCCCAGCCCCTATCACTTTGGTATTTTCTAAGCCAGAGAGAAGGTTCATAAAATTTTTCCTTGTGGGCTTTTTAAGTAAAGGGTATCCAGTTCAACTGGGCAAGTTTACCAAACATCTCTTACTATTTTTTTAAGTTTGGAAAGCACAATTTTTTTGTAGTTATTTCACCTACTTTGCTTGGAATAAAATAAATCAGAATGGAAGCAAGGTATATGTAGGAGGACAGAGATTTTTAACACTATGGGATTTAAAAATTTTTGGTATATATAACTTAAGACAAATTTTTAAAAATCATTATCAGCTAAGGAACAAGTAATGTTCAAATAGAAATGTTATGAACTCTATGTTTTCACTGGAAGAGTTAAAAGTAGATGAGCGGTAAATCTGGATCTATTTGGTCTGGTTTGGGAAGATGTGAGTACAAAGTCTACATGTAATACTGAAGAGTAATACTGCTCCCAAGGAAACATTCCAGGTCATGATCTTGGTTCAAAGTGACTCTAGCTTTCCTAGTAGGAATATATCTTCAAAGCAGTTTTAACTGTTCAATTCAGGTCCTTGTTTCTAAATAGACCCCCTTATGGATTTTTTTTTTTTTTGCAAAACTGGGGATTGAACTGAGACCATTGCACTTGCCAGGGAAGCATTTATTCTACTAAGCCATCACCCCAGCCCTCCCTTTTTTTGACCCCCTTATATTCTTTTTTTTTTTTTTTTTTAAAAGTATTTATTTTTTAAATTTTATTTATTTATTTATGTGTGTGTGTGTGTGTGTGTGTGTGGCCAGCTCAGCCCACCAGGGGGCGGGGCTGGCTGGCATGTGGTGCTGGGGATTGAACCGCGGTCCCTGTGCTTTGCTAAGCTTGTTCTAAGTAGGTGCTTTAGATCACTGAGCCATCTCACCAGCCCCCCCCCCTTATATTCTTTGAGAAATCAGAATGACAGGGTCATAGCAGAATATACTCAGCTATAATTTGCATATAAATATTAATCTGATATTCCTAAAACTTTTTTTATATAAAGTACTTTTGCCACAAAATTGTACTAATAGTGAAATAAACTTTTGTTCACTGTACTGTCATGATTCCTTTGCAGGTTGTTCAGTTAGAAGAAAGCAACACTAATGATATATAAAACTTTCTGAATTTGCTTTTTCACAAAGCCTTATCATAAATTTAGTAAGTGTAAAGAATCTACCAAGATAACATGATTATGCTTGATTTTGTAAGGTTCACAGCACTGACATGCTCCTATGTTGATGGCGTTTTTCAATAGTTTTGATTATGGACAAAAAAAAAAAAGTAAATCAGGACTGGGCTGGAAAAAAAAACAGGACTGAGTTGGGCATGGGATGCACGCCCGCCATCTCAGCATTTAGGGAGGCTCTAGCTGAAGGATCACAAACCTGTGTGCTGCTTGGACAATTTAGCAACACACTGTTTCAATATAAGGAAGACTGAAAATGTAGCTCAGTAGCCAAAAGCGCCTGGATTGTACTACTTTTTTTTGTATTTTAAGGAAGGGTCTACAGGGTGTTCAGGGTCTCGCTACTAGATCAGATTCGCAGTGCTTGGCCTGTTTACAGCCTCCCAAGAGCTGGGATTCCAGGTGTGCACCACCACGCCCAGTCTCAATTGCATTCTCAGAGAGCCCTGGGGGTGAGGCCGGCACAGCAGGCCCTGGAATGAAATCCCCGGCCTCTGAGCCTGCTTGCAGGCCCTTTAATCCGCTGAGCTATTTGGCTGGCCCTCTGGATTGTAATCCTAATACCACAGTAAAAAAGGAGGACTAGATGCCTATAATTCTAAACGTTACACAGCAATATGGAGTCCTGACAGCAGCACCTACTGCAACTGGAGAACAAGTAGAAGAGGCTGAGATAAAGCGGTCACTTGTACTTTACTTTGTTCAATAAGCTACATACTAACACCATTATAGACTAAACTACTTACTATGTAAACCTGACCACAAGAAAAGCAAATGGACTGGGGAATGTAGTTCAGTGGCAAAGGTCCTGCCAGGCATGTGGAAGGCTAGGGGTTCAATCTATAGCACTACAAAAAGAAAAAAAAATTCAATTAAAAGAGTGAAACTGGGCCAGTGAGTTAGCTCAGAGAACTAAGCACCTACTTAGGCAAGCACTGTGTCTGGGGTTCCCTCTGGGCATGGTGATGCATGCCTGTGAGCCCAGTGCTGGGAAGGCTAAAAACAGGAGGATCACTACGAGTCCTGCTGTGTAGTGAGACCATGTGCCAAATACATAAATTTAAAAATAAAGGACGGAAACCTTACCCTATGTAGAATCCAGTGTTGGTGTAAATATTCCAGCCCTTGAAGAGTCATCAACATGTATGCTTTAATGTGTGACGGTGTCAGCACAAGACTATTGTCCTTTATTATAACCTGGAAAACAGACATACAACACAGACACACCTCAGCATTCTGAATGAACTCTACCACATAAAAATAAAATGAGTATTTCCGCACAGAAGACTCTCCCAGAGAAACTGCCCAACTCTGTTTAGAAGACACTGTTAGAATTCCTACAATTATGGGGCTGGTGAGATGGCTCAGTGGTCTAAAGCACCTACTTGGAACAAGCTTAGCAAAGAACAGGGACCGTGGTTCAATCCCCCAGCACCACGTGCCAGCCAGCCCCGGCCCCTGGTGGGCTGAACTGGACACACACACACACATAAATAAATAAATTTTATTAAAAAAAGAATTCCTACAATTAGGGAGAGACAAGCATCTATAGAATTAGGAAGAAGGCAACACTGCAGCCTATAACCTTTAGCAGAAACGTATCAGACATCTACAGTGGGAACCTCCTCATCCCAGCTCAGCCCATCGCAATAGGGTAAGTAGGATAAGAACGAACCCCACCTGACTCTCTGATGAGGATACAGGACCCAGGCATGGCCGTCCCACTCTGGAACTGCCCGCCCAGGCACCAGATTGCTGCTGGGATGGGCATGTGACCTAAGGCTAACCAACCAACCAATCCAAGTGCTTGGGCTAGAAGCGAAGGGAATGAAGCACTGTCTTCTCTTGGGAATTATTAGACTCCACAGACAAAGCCTGGAACTGTCCAGACCACACTGACAAAGTGGGCCCATGGAGAAAGGCAGGAGGATAAAACGGAGGAGTTACAGAGCACAGCTCAGTTTCTACAGCATTCTTGGGATCCGCGTCATACGCCAATTTATTCCTAGGGTTACAGCTCCTCTCTATTCCCGACTGGCATTAAATTATTGATTTTTTTGGTGGGGAGAATACTAGGAATTGAACTCATGACCTCACGCTTGCCAGGCAGGCACTGCACCACTGAGCTATATCTCCAACCCCGACATTTTTTCTTTTTCTTTTTTTAAGGCAATCTCACAAGCTGGCCTTGAACTCACAAGGTGAGCCTCCTGCCTCAGCCTTCTGAGTGCTGGGATTATAGCCATGTACCAACTTCCACAGTAGTATTTACTTATACAGGCTTCTGCAATTGTTCATATATTTTCTAGATGAAGAACACTGAGGTTTCTTCCATTTTTGCTGATTAAAAATAAAGCTGAACAACCATTTAACACTGGTTTCTATGTTGGCAATGTTTTGTTTTTCTTAAATAACTGGAATTGTTCACTAGTCTATGATGATACAGGAATATAGGGAAATACAGTGAAAAGTATAGGGGAAAAGCTTAAAGTTATGACAGACCTCATCTCAATTTCTCTAAAAGTATTGTCATGGCTACAGGGAACTGGATAGACAGAAATGCTAATGAAATGCAAGTTGCTGCACAGTGCTTAATGCTGCCAATACAGGCAAATGACCACAAGTGAAGAACCCATATGGGGCCAGGGAGTGAGCTCAGCAGCTTAAGCACCTGCCTGGCAATCAAAAGGTCCTGAGTTCAATTCCTGTTACAGAAAAAAAAAAAAAAAGAAAGAACTCACAGATGTTTGACTTCAGACTCCATCCAGTTTGAACAAAAGTAAGCACTTTTAAAATACCAGTAGTTGGGGCTGGTGAGATGGCTCAGTGGTCTAAAGCACCTACTTAGAACAAGCGTAGCAAAGGGACCGCGGTTCAATCCCCCAGCACCACATGCCAGCCAGCCCCACCCCCTGGTAGGCTGAGCTGGCCATACACACACACAAATAAATAAATAAATAAATAATTTTTTAAAAATACCAGTTGTTTTTAGTTTTTTGGTGGGGAGAGGCTTAAAAATTGGGGGTTACATTTTAGATTTACATAACATTTATCTTTAGAGAATTTGTATCTGTACATGATACAACTTGTTTCCTCCTCTTTCCTGTTTTCCTCCTGTGCCTTCAACTTCTGCTCCACTCCTTATTTATAAAGCTTTGCTTCCATTTTTTTCCTTCTATTTTTTTTTTTTTTTTTCTTGTCCCTTCTTTCCTTCCTCCTCCCCTTTCCCCAGGTCCCTTCTCATTTGAACATTTTCTTCCCATTTCCCAATATCTATTATACATTTTGGTCCTTATTTACACTTTTGGTTTCTCACACCAGAGAAATAAAGCAGTTCAAATAGCATTATCTTTCTTTCTTTCATTCATTCAATTATTCATTCATTCATAAATAAATTAAATAGAATACTATTATCTTCTAAGGCAGAATAACATCCACAATTTCCTTTGATAAACTGTAGAAAAAAATTTCTCTAAGAATCTTAATCTTACCTCTAAATCAGTTTCCATGAAATCAAAGACAAGGCTAATATTAGATTTATGTCCAAAAGCATCAAGGAGCTGCAAAATAAAAGTTTTTAAAAAGTTAAAATGTGATTCTGTCAGGCTAGACCCCAAGGAGCAACTCAGACCACTAGAATAGGCATGATTGAAGCAAACAGCAATATCTTTATTTCGGGTTGGTCAATGCTGAGAAGGCCACTGACCATGAACACAGGAAGAAAACAAAATATAGGCTGCCCTAGGTATGGGAGGGGGTGACCCACTGAGGAAAACAGAAAATGTTAAGTTCCTCGGGGGTCATGAGCGGGTCTGGTGCCTCTGTGGGGGGAGGGAAGTGCAGATGACAGCAGCCCTCAGCTGACTTACACAGTGGCATTCTATAGTGGGAAGCACCTGGGGAAGTGTGAGATGACAGCAGCAGCTTGCTAACTTACTGAGTGGCATTCTATAGACTTACAGTATTTCCTGTAAGCCTGAGAACCAGGCCTGGACACCAACTTGATAACAGTACACTTTCCTGTTTGAACACACTGGTCTGTTGAAGATTTTTCTCTTCAGATTGGGAGGGGTCTAATTATGAGGACCTAACAGATTTGCTATTTAACACTGTTGGAAGGCCATACCAACATATACATGTTATAAAAATTTAAACATATGAACTATTGACAATTTCCTATAAAGGTGAAATCACTTTACTAAATTTTACTTTTTTTTTTTTTTTTGGTTGTTTTACAGTGATAAAGAAGTTAGTGGGCCAGGGAGATGGCTCAGTGGAATAAGTGTTTCCCTGGCAAGTGGAAGGGCCTGAGTTCAATCCCTGGTTCCACCAAAAAAAAAAAAAAAAAAAAATTAAAGAAGTTAGTATTCTGAGGCACAAAAATATTAAACTTTTTAAAACCACTACATAGTTAAGTTCCCCCTAATTTGGGGATTTATAACTAAAGAATTAATAAAAACTTTACTTCAGTCTCCAATTGAAAAAATTTCCCAAGCACACTACTCAATTAAGAAAAGTCTCCCCAGGAGGAGTAGCATGATCCCTTTTAAATTACGAAAAAAGCTGAGTGTGGTGGCACACACCTGTAATTCCAGCACTTGGGAGATGGAGGCAGGAGGACAGCTGTGAGTTCCAGGCCAGCCTGGGATACACAGGGAGAACCTGCCTCAAAAAACCTCCCTAAGTAACCATTCCATAAAGAAGTGCATTCTTCACGCAGCCCGTTCCACACCTGATGTCTTCTACTAGCCTGATGACAATCTTATGAAGCAGAAGCCACACAAAGTTGAGAAAGAACTTGCTCAGAACCCTCCACACGGGAACACGAGGGTTTTGAATACAGGCTGATTCTTGGGCACTTCGCTAAAACTCTCTAGGATTCAAAGTAATTTGTTTTGGGACTACAGGTGGGCACCACCTCATCCAGCTTAGCTGTATGGTTTTAAAAGACACTCACTGCAGGAACAATTAGGACAAAAAACACTCCAGCTGATCAACTTTTCATTTTCTTCTCCAAGGCTCACCTAGAACAATTCATCTTGTTGAGGCTTCAATCAACACCTACTATGTTCAAAAAGGCAGGATCCCAAGTATCAAACAATTTAGATTGTACTCACACCAATTATATTTGGATGACTTAGCTCCTGTAATAATTTTATCTCTCTTAAGGCTGTTCTATTTATACCTGTGTAAAAAGGCAAAGCAAAAAGTAAACAATAATTCTGAAATCTCAAATTCTTCTTACAAATACATTTTTAGGAAAGGTCAGTCATAAAACAGGCAAATTTTGACAAGCTGCGAGACAAATTTGATTTTCTTTTACACTGCTTTATTTTTAAGGTAAGTTAGCACAGACTGACAGGGTTGAAAAACAATTATCAATAGCACATCACATCTGAAAACCATTACACTAAGAGCATCAGACTACAGGTATGTGGCAGACAGATAAGCACACGGGTTCTCTTCTCTTGCCCTACAAATATCTGGGGCACATGTCTCGTGCTAAGAGCAAGGTACTGAGATGACACTATCTTTTCTAACACCAGGGACAGAACTCAATCTGGGAAGAGATGATGGACTATTTTCATAAAAAATATGCTGTTATGACCAAACAGGACTCAGCATCTTTTAAAAAGGTCATGGAAATCTTTCCCTTGTATGTCTATGCCATAGAGAACTTTGTGGACTTCCACAAAGATGTATCCTAAACTCTCAAAGGAGTTAAAAGTTCAGAAAGAAAAAAAAAAAAAAATCAAGAGCAGTTAACATTTAAAATAGTAATGAGGGGCTGGCGAGATGGCTCAGTGGTCTAAAGCACCTACTTGGAACAACCTTGGCAAAGCACAGGGATGCGGTTCGATTCCCCAGCACCACATGCCAGCCAGCCCTGCCCCCTTGTGGACTGAGCTGGCCACACACACACACACACACACACACACAAATAAATAAATAAATGTTAAAAAAAAATAGTAATGAGATCAGCAGGGCAGGCCACTACCAACTTCACTGCCTCCCATTTCACTTAGGTGATGTGAATGTGAGAATTATCAAATGTCTCTTCTCTATGCGGAATCTGTCGTTACTCTTCTGGGCCACCGTAATAATTCTACCTAGAATCACTGTACCTCTTACTAGTACTTGGCTCATTTCCTCAGTGAAAATAAAAAGATTTCCCGTTTTCTCAGGTTATATGAATACTTACCATCTTTAGCTTCTGATCTGTGTCCAAGTTTGATCTGAAAGAGAAGAAAACACAATATCCCACACATATTAAAAATGCATTAAGTCATGCAGACCTCTTTTGAGGTTTTTTTTGTGACAAGGTCTTGCCTCAAGTTTGCAGTGATCCTCCTGTCTCAGCCTCCTGAGTACTCAGAGTTTACAGATGTGCACTACCACACCTGAAAAATTACAGACTTAAAATATAACCTATGAGCACTTCAAAATTCAGCTACCATAAAAACCTGCAGCAAACCACACGGAGAGTACTAGTAGGCAAAAAGAGAATGGGAATCATGAATTAGGCAAGAGGTTAACAGTGTGGCTTAGTAGAGAGCTTTGGACTCAAACCCTAGCATAGTGGGGCAAGGATAATTTACTAGAGTAGCCCCCTCTAAGTGTGCTTATATCATTCAGAATAGTGACAAACTGATTCTAAAATTTATAAGAAAAAAGAGCAAAATGTTTTAATTAGTGCATTTTCCAAACAAAAAAAAAAAATCTCATGAAGTGTGCTATTTCAGTACCCAGAATCAACAGAGATTAATTTTTTTTTTTTTTTGTAACCAGTGATTGAACTCAGGCCCTTGCACTTGCCAGGGAAGTGCTTATTCCACTGAGCCATCTCCCTGGCCCCAACAGTGATTAATTATGTTACACTTACTTCATTCAATTCATCCTTTCCCATTTGCTGGCTAAAATATTTTAAAGCAAATTCCACACTTCTTGTCATGTCATTTTTTTTTTTTTTTAATGAGCAGAATATATTTATTGAGGGAAAGAAAGCTCCTGTCCAAGAGAGGGACAGGAGGGGGGCCCGAGTGGGTTGTTCCCTTGTCATTTTATCCCTACATGTTAAGCACCTCTAAAGCATGAACTGCCTAAGTATAAGGGCATTTTCATTATTTTCAGGGTCCTCAGGTATTCAGGGTCTCACTACCAGATCAGACTGCAGTGATCTGCCTGTTTACAGCCTCTCCCAAGAGCTGGGATTACAGGCGCACACCACCATGCCCAGTCTCAATTGCAGTCTCAGGGTACCCGGAGCAGGGCCGGATCGAACCCTGCTCCCGCCGCCCCCCCAGCCTGCTCGCAGGTGCTTTAATCCACTGAGCTATTATAAGGGCATTTTCAAATCTAAGATAATTAATAATAATCCCATAGTAGTACCTAATACCTAGGAGTGGTTCCTAGTGAAATTTTCCAGATGGTTTCAAATTTCCTAATTGGCTCATTTAGTAGTCAAGACCAAGTTAGACATGAAAAACAAGGTCCACTACACAGAATTTAACAGATTTTAAGATTTACTAGAAAACAATGGTAATGAAAGGTACACAGTATTTCAGCAGGATGAAAAGAATTAATCATTAGAACTGAATAGCTGGGTCGGGGAGACAACTCAGTAGAATAAGTGCTTGCCTGGCAAACACAAAGGCCTGAGTTCAATCCCCCATTCTGCCAAAAACAACAACAACAACAACAACAAAACTGAATATAGTGCCCAGAATGAAGCCAAAAATATAACGAAGCCTGTACCCCAAGTACATGGGGGAACAGGGTATCAGCAGGGTATAACCTGTAATCCCAGCACTCAGGCAGAAGCAAAAGTGTTCAAGACTGTATTGGGTTAACTCACAATTTAGGCTCTAAATGAAAATCTTGTGCTTTCTTTTTGTGTGAGAAATGTGTACTCACTGCTGTTCTAGGTTGTTTAGTAACTAGTGGCTGTTTCTTGCTGCTCCCAAAGATAAAATTCCTTCCTCACTAATTTCTGTAAACAAAGTTAGCTTACAGAGATGACTTCAAAAGAAAACTAAATGGGCTTAACTCCTTGCTAAGATAAAATTCCTTCCTCACTAATTCCTGTAAACAAAGTTAGCTCACTGAGATAACTTCAAAAGAAAACTTACATCCTACTAACCTGTATTGTAACTGTTTCATTGCTATTCTTTTTTCTCATTAAAATTAATAAAAATTTAAAAATAAAAAAAAGAAAACTAAACTTAAGGCTACATTTTGTGTTACATGATAAATTTGTTTACTAAATTGAATATGGGTCCATGTTTTAGAAGTCGTCCTGTTCCTCCCCCCACCCTTTCTGGGCTAGCCGCCCGCCTGAGAGCTGCAGGGGGAGGGGGGATGAGCTCCGTAATGAACAGTTTTATAAATTCCAATTGGGCTGACCTGGTTCCTATTCTGAGCGACCCAAAACAAAGACCAGCCTGAACTATATTGCAAGACCTTTATCAAAGAACAAAACACAAAAGAATAGGTTATTAATAGTGTTGGACTCTGGGGGAAAGAAACTATTATATCTGCATATCATACAGTGTACAAACATTAACTGTAGATGATAAGACTTAAACATTAAATAAGCTAAAAGCCTACCTAAAGACTGGAAGATTATACGTGCAGTGAACACTTCTGATGAAGGATCAATGCCCACAAAAAAGCTGGATGTGGTGATACGCAGCTGTAACCTCAGCACCCAGCAGCTGAGGACGACTGCCATGAGTTTATGAGGCCAGCCTATACGACAGCGGAGACCAGGTCTCAACAAACTAAACCAAAGGAATCAATAGAAAAAAAAAGGAAAAGTAACCCTGGCCAGGTATATAGGTCAGAGGTAGCATACGTGAGAGGCCTTGGGTTCTATTCCCAACACCATCCAAAAAAAAAAGAAAAGAAAGAAATCTACAGAAAAACAAGTAAGAGAAAGTATAAGAAAAGATGATGTAATCAGAGAATTTTTTTTAAGTATAGAAATATAGATATGAGAAAAAAGCCTAATGTCCCGAGGGAGCAAAGAGCAACAAACAGAGCTCAGGAGAACTGCTCCCTCTTTGGCAAATTCCAGCAAGCTGGGATTCCAGGCTGCAGATAACAGCTTCTCCTGCTGGCGCCCGCCTGGTTGTGGTTGTTTCATCCCTTGCTTGGGGCGTTAATGGCTATAGTTGTGTAAACTTAAGGGTTAGGTAAATGCCTGAAGTCCATAGATAGTTTGGGTTCACCAAAGTAGTTAACCCACATTCCTTAGCCTGCCTCTATCCCTCAGTAAATGTCAGACGTTCCAGTGGCTCTGGGCTCACTTAGAGACTAATCTCAGTGAGGCCTCTAAAGCTATAATCAGGTTTTCTTTAGGCACCGACTGATGACTGATAATGCACATTTAAGTTTTTTTTTATTTATGTATTTGGTACAGGGTCTCACCACGCAGCTCAGACTCATAGTGATCCTCCTGTTTTCAGCCTCCCCAGCATTGGGACTATAGGACTGCCCCCCAGGAGGAGCTAAGTGAGCCCTGGGGGCAGGGCGGGTACACCATGCAGGACTGGGGATCGAACCCCTGGTTCCTGCACTTAGTTTGCTGAGCTATGTTGCTGGTCCTACCAGAGAAATTTTAACTTGAACAACAAAAATACACTACTTTTGACCCAGCTGACAAATGCCAGAAAGTCTGATAATACAAAAGCTGTTGAAACTGTGGTAGGAAGGAAACCTGTCTAACTATTTTGGAATTAATTTGGCCACATCTGGTGGAAGTTGATGTTGGAATGCTGAGGCAGCAACACATGCTTCGTTTTAACTATATGTTCTCAAACAAGCACACAAGACCGACTCACAGTGTCTGGCATGGAGGACCAGTAATCCCAAGTACTCACGAGGCTGAGACAGAGGGTCGCCAGTTTGTGGTCAGTCTGAGTAACTTAGTGACTGTCTCAAAATAATAAAATGTAAGCCCGGTCAGTCAGGGATGCAGCTTAGTGGTAGAGCTCTTGCCTACCATGGGTAAGGCCAAGTTCAACCTCTAGTACCACAAAAAGGAAATTAATGAATCATCTTTAAAATGATCAACAATATTTATGTCCTAGAAGACAAAGACAGTACCTTATTTAATGATTCCTTTTTTTTTTTAGTGGAACCAGGTATTGAACTCAGACACTAGCGCTTGCCAGGGAAGCACTTACTCCACTGAGCCATCTCCCAGGCCCACTGATTCCTTCTTGTAAAATTAAACATACATGTTAGCAAATGAGTGGAAGGAGTAACTATGTTTCTCCATGGGGAGGTCCAGAGCACCAACCAAATCCTTAATGTCACAACAGAAAAACAACTGTCTTGGTCTCTCTTTTTCTCCCTCTCCCTCCTCCCCCAACGTCTGTCTGTCTGTCTCTCATGTGTATCGGCCATCGTGCCACACACCTGTATTCCCAACACTTAAGTGATTGAGGCAGGAAGATTACCATGAATTTCAAGACCAGCCTGAGCTACATAGCAAGACCCTATCTCAAAAAACAAAACAAAGAAAATTTCTTATTAAATCATTTTAGAAAATGTACCACATCAGCGTTGTCACTGTTCCCGAAAGACTTTCGTGGCAAAAATGCGCGCAGATAATACAGCTACGACACAGAGTAGGCACACGTGAGGCAGACCTTGACAATGATATTAAATAGTTTCAAGGACTCCAACAGATGGGGCGACTCATCCCAACGTCTGAGGCTATGGAGCAAAAATAACACACAACCTTTTGGTTGTAAGTCAATTAATGGAAAACGAGTTCAACTCCAGCGCTCCATCTCCGAGCGCGAGGTCCCAGGGAAGCTATCGCCTTGGAAACGGCAAGAGTGACTCGTCCTCGGGCGGCCGAGGGTGGAGACGACGCGCTGGGAAACAGCAAGGCATCTTACTTTTCTTTCGGCGGAACCGGGGATTGAACTCAGGCCCTGCTACTGAGCCATCTCCAAGGCCCAAAATCAAATAAGGTCTTCTGTGGCCTGTTTTTTTTGAGGGTGGTATTAGGGATCGAACATCAGGACCTTACGCTTGCCAGGCAAGCACTTATTCCCCCGAGCTATCTCCCCAGCCCTTTACTTACTTTCTTAATGGCGACGATCTGGTTGGTGTTCTTGTCTCTGGCCTTGTAAACCGTGGCAAACTAGAAAGAGAGGGATGAGCTGGGGCGAGCTGCTCGCGCTCGCGGGGGACCCGGGTCCTAGTGGGCGCGCGGGGCTGGGGACGCGATCGCGCGGTCCGCGTCCAGCTGCCGCCTGCTCTGCAGGAAGGAGGGGACGGCCGAGGGTCCCCCAGGAAGTAACGAGGGGCAGCGGCGGGGACGAGCGGCCGGCCCAGGCCTCCGGCTCCGGCGCAACCCACCGAGCCCGGGGTGCGGTGGGGTCGCGCTCTCCTCGGGCCTTCCCAGCCCAGCCCCAGCGCCCACCTGTCCCTCTCCGAGGAAGTCCAGTTTCTCATAGCGCTTTGCTCGAGACTTCACGTCCACAGCCATTCCACGCACAGAGCCCGATGCCACAGGAAAGGGGCGAGCGTGCCGGACAGCAGGAATTTAAAGCTGCCTGCGAGTCTCTAAAAGACACTTCCGCCCACTGGGTGCCCACGCTGCGAGCTCCGCCCCACTTCCGGGGTGGGCAGGGTCGCCCGTAAAAGGGTCCGGGCGGAGCCTGCCCGAGGAAAGCTGGGTGAGCTGTCACGTGGTGCTTGTTGGCCGGGGCAGCAGTGGCACCCTGTTACCGTTTGGACTTGGGTCTTTTTTCCACTAGCAGGGTGGGTCTTCATTCTGATAGCGTTCTGAGTTCGGATTTAATGGGTGTGCATAAGTGTGCAAAACTTGGCCTCATAAGAGATGTCGCCTTCCGGTGCTTGCCTTGTTCTTCCTGGCGCCGGGGTTGCTATGGACGCCTGCTCGCCTCCCCAGCAATCTCTGGTTAGACAGAGGGCCAAATTCTTAAAGGATGATCAGGATTAAAACCAGTCTCTAAGGCAACCAAATCCAACGCTACGAAAACGTGTTTTGAAATAGGATTCTTGTCCTCTAAATGGAAATGGCATAGGTGGCTTTGAGAATTACACCAAACACGGAGAAAGTTTAGACACAGTAACTGTTGAGTGTAAACTGGCCCAGTATGGTGGTGCAGGTTTGTAATTCCAGCACTTGGGAGGATGAGGCAGAAAAATCACGATTTCAAGGGTATCCTGGGCAGGTTAGCTAGATGCTATATCAAAATTAAAAAACAACTGCGAGCATGTGTGTGTGTGTGTGTGAGAGAGAGAGAGAGAGAGAGAGAGAGAGACACACACACACACACACACACACACACGATATAACTCAAGCGAAGGTCCTGGGTTCAATCCCCTGTACCACAAAACCGAGAAAAATCCGACCAGTAACGAAATTATAAATTTCTACAGACACGTTAAATTCTTTAGAGGATATATATATAGAGAGTGCTTTCTATGTGCCAAGCACTATTGCAGACTCTGACAAATCCAAGAGAGAGAAGAAATAAGGAAGGTGATAGGTTCTGGCCCTAGTATGAATTGCTGAATTATTATTGTGGTGATGTAATATGGCTGAAGCCCTTAAAACAATAGCTCATCTTCCCCAAGGCCACCTCCCCACTTCTTCTCCAACTCAGCCCAGGGGACAATTTCCTTTCACCCCTCCTGCCACCTGAGGGAAGACCCCAATCAGCTCCTCAGGTGTGTCTAAACATCCCCTTCAAACTCCACTCTGGGCAAAAGGCCATAAAAGTGTCAGCCTCCCTTTGTTCCAATCCAGAGAATCCCTCATCTTCCCCAGATTGTCTCTGCATCCTCAAAGATAATAAAGCTCTTTCCCTTTTTGCTTCTGTTTCTCTGCTGTGACACCGGAAGCCACCGTGGAAAACCTATGAGACGTTAACTATGACACCTAAATGGTAAATGCTACAGATGCAATAACACGGGGTCAGGGTGTGTGGATAAAATGGAGGGGGTTGCAGTTGTTTGCACAGAGTAGTACAAGAAATAGCTGAAAACCCACGAGGGGGATTTGAACAGAAAAATGTATGTCTGGACAATATTTTAAAAGGTTCACTCTGTTGAGAGACACTAGAGATTTAAAAGGACAAGAAATTAGAGTCTCTGACGCTGGTCCTGATGTCAAAAGTAAGTTCTGATCCATTTAGGGGACTGGATGCTCAGCTCTCTGTGAGGCCCTAGCAGTGCTGGCTCTTACTGGTTGTCCTGCTTTCGTCTCTCCAGCATGAGAGCTCTAGAACCCCAACCAGGTGCAGAACCCCTTTCCAGAGTTTCTACACTAACCTGATGGCTAAAAATCTAAGGGCTCTGCCCCTTCCCTGACCGTTGGGGTCCTAGGATGCCTGGATTGTGTTTCTGCTTTCTCCGTTGTTGTGGATTTTCTTGGCAGAAGATGTCTCCTGTCTGATGCTGGGCAGAATCTAAGTGCTTACATCATTCTCTTGTTAATCTGTAAGAACAGTTGTAATGTACTGGGAAAAAAAGTTGGCTGGAAATTCTGACACTGTGTGAAGTAAAAAAGGTTTGCTTACCTTTATTTTGTTTCCTGGAAGTACCTCTTTGCAAAAACAATTCAGTAAAGTGTTTTAGAACAACAAAACAATTAAAAGGACCAAAGAAAGGCCTACTAGTGAATTACTGCAGTAATACAAATGGCTTTACTAGGGTGGCAAATTTTACTTCTAGCCAGCAGGATTTGCTGGTAGGCTGGTGTGGACTGGAGGGAAAGAACGTTCTAAATTTCTCATCTGCAGTAGCTATCAGCATGGAGCTGTTTTCCCTCTCTTTGCAAATTCGATAATGTTTTGCTTCTGCTTTTGGAGACAAGGGTCTTGCTGTGTAGTTCAGGCCGCGCTTGCACCCCGTAGGTAGCCCAGTTGGTCTTGAACGCAGGGCAGCCCTTCTGCCTCAGCCTGTGATGAGAGACGTGCCTCACCACATCTTTCTGCATTTGATATTTCTCAGAGTTGGGAATCCTCATTTTTCAGAAGAAACTGAATGCTACCAGAAACACAGTAATTTCAACTGTTAGTGTAGCAATTGTGTTTATGTCCTAGAGATTGTCTGCCTTTGAATACTGGCTCATGAGTATTCAGTCACTAGGTGGACAGCTTGGGCAGATTACTATCCATACCCTCTTTCCTTCTCTGTAACAGGACTCAACTTGTGTCATAGTTACTTCCCTTAGCTGAGACAAATACCTGACACCCAAAGTTAAAGGAAGAAAGGTTTATTTGGCTCACAGTTTGTAGATTTCAGTCCATCGTAGGCTGGTTCAAGGCAGGGTGGCAGGGCAGGCATTGCAGAGAAAAAGGTGATGGTGGGCAGAAGACAGCAAAGCTAGCAAGGGATCCTAGCAGCGTCTTTCATGTTGTAGGCGATCATGATAAGGCTGGTGCCAACCAGAGTACTGATTCAGTAATCACCCCCCCTTGGCTGCACCGTCTCTGAAAATGCCCCACCGATGACCACATGCAGCTTTGGGGGGACATCTAAACACAAGCCAAGGGGCCGGGGAGATAGTTCAGTAGAATGAGCGCTTGCCTGGCAAGTGCAAGGGCCTGAGTTCAATCCCCAAAAAAGAAACAAAACAAAACAAAAAAAACCCACAAGCCATAACAACTAATAAAGTCCTGACGAGTACCTGACATATTTAGTCATTACTAGTTATCTTTCTGGCCTTTGTTACCACTTGGATCTATATAACTTTCATACATTGCAGAAAACACACTGTCCTTGCCAGCTGTGTTACTGGGACTCAGCCCAATGCTTTCACAGAGCTACATTCCTATCTAACCCGCCCCTCCTTTGAGTCAGTTTTGCCAAATTGGTTTGTTTCCCAGGGACATTTTATGGTAATGAAGCAGTATTTGATAATATTCTGGGCCAAAAAGTTACTATATATACAAAAGTTATTAAGCATTTGCATAGCAATTTGCAGTTTACAAAGCTTTTTTTTGGTACGGGGGATTGAACTCAGGACCTTGTACTTGCCAGGCAATTGTTTGAGACAGGGTCTCGTTAGGTAGTTCAGGCTGGTCCTGAACTGACTATATAACCCAGACTGGCCTTGAACTCCCAGAGATCTTCCTGCCTCAGCCTCCTGAGTGCTGGGATAATTCTTTTTGCTTTCTCTCCCACAAAGCAAACAGGCTCACTATGCCAAGCTCCAAATAATTTTATTTTTTGAAACAGGTTCTGACTATATAGTCCAGGCTGGCCTCAAACTCTTGGCGATTCTCCTGCCTCAGCTTTCTAAGTGCTAGGATTATAGGAGGGTACCACACCAGGCTTGAAATAATTTTTTAAATAATTATGCTAAATCAGGTGTTTTTTCACAAGTTATCAGAGCAGCTTATTGCTAGTATTAAACCTAATCTCTTATCACCTATTTGTGTAGGGCAATGTTCATCCATAGCTACAGTGCAATTTATTTATTTAATTTTTTTAAAAAATTTTTATTTATCTGTGTGTGTGTGTGTGTGTGTGTGTGTGTGTGTGTGTGTG